CAGAAAACTTACCTCCCGTCGATGGCACAGCTTCACGACAAATTACACTCGTCGCACGAAACGAATAAAGGTCCTAGGAAGCTTAGTAATGCCTTGAAGGGTGCTGGAAAAAGCCTAATCGCATAATCTGCTCTCCACGGTAGAGCAGTTTCTACATAAAATATTTCGCCTTACACAATGCATGCTTCGACTGAGAACTTGCACACATTTTTGCAGCTACCGAACGCTTCAGTAGAACTGCGCATAGAATGTAGAAATCACGAGGATACTGATTAATGGGTCCGCTTGATTTAGTATTACAATTTATTTTATTACTTGACTTCGAGATGAGAGTACATCATAGAGAGTGATTAAAGTTAACGACTTCTCAGCAGCCAAGCAGCACTTTCCGCTCTAGTATGTTTATTTTGCTATGTGCTGGATCCAACACATGCATGAAAATTATTGGAGTCCACCAGACATTCATTCGATCGAAAAATGGGGCAAAACAAAGACACGGTGGTTCCAAAAATACACGTTATCTAATGTGTTTCAGGTGAATATGATGATGAGCAAAATAAGTTACATGTTCAGCCGTTTGACCGATACGTAACTACATCACCTAGAAAATGATCTGTGAGGGAAATCGGAAATTTGTTGAAAAATGACATAAAAAGCTACAATTACTGTGAACAAATCACATACAAAGTAATCTTTCCACAGACCCAACGAGAATGGATCCTTATTTTACTGTAAATGAATGAAAAAAGAGCGGTTCTACATTGATTGGTCGGATATTGTCAGAAGGGGACACGGTGTTTATCTTTTCAAAACGCCTTCCAGACCTGTACCCATAAATCAAACTGCCATCCACCTTGACGCTACACCATACCGTACGGGATAGCTGATTAGAGCAATGATCCAAAATGTCGTTCACATGGGGCTCCCGAGTCTCCTGCATACATCGCTTTCAGTGAGTAACTGACATCAGTTGCCATCTATGAGTCATGATGGCGGTCGAGTTACTGTTTACTAGAGACGATTGATTGCAAGATGGGAGAACAAGGGGTTCCGCCATTCATTCGTTGCCGTTGCTCCATTAATGAAGGTTCGATTTTCCTAAGAACGTTTTTCGAATGCTTAGCCACCATACATACATACATACATACATACATACATACATACATACATACATACATACATACATACATACAT